AAGCACAGATGTGTCTTCCAGGGGAGGGACACAATGAGTCCTTGGGCCCTTTGGCTGCAGCGCAGGCTGTGGAATCCTCTGCAGCTCAGCCTGGCCCTCGTGGGACACTGAGCCATGGCTGCACTCTCCAGTGACACACTGCTGGAGTCAGACCAAACTCACTGCAAGCTGCATTTAGAAAATGCTGAGAAGTATTTCAACTCCAAGGCTGCCAGTTCTGCCTGTGCAATCTAGGCAAGGAAATGCCAGTCAGCACGTTTTCCCTGAGCTGTGTCACACAGGAGCTATCCCAAGGAAGGCAGGGATGCACAGTACCTGCTGCAGTGTCACAGGGATAAAAATAACTGCTTTTAAGGATAAATACCCTTATAATGCAAGAGGTGCCAAAGTGATCTTCAGAGGAGGTACTTTTGAAAATTAAATATATGTATTAGATATAAATACATCTTGAGCTTTATCTTTCTTCTTCCCCATTTGTAGTAGTCTCGTACTTACTGTGTGCTAAACATTCCTCTGGGTCTGAGGGTGTTGTAGGCTGTGAACAGAACATTTTTCTTTGCAGTTTCTCAGCCAGATGCAGTCAAAGCATCACCTGTGTACAGATGTACATCCATGAGCAACGTGTGTCTCCACTGCAGTTACAGGGAGGAAAAAAAAAGAAAATGGCATTTTTTTTTTCCAAAATGGAATAACCAGTAAATATTTCACAACTCCATAAATAAAAAATGATTGATCTGATCTTTCAAAAACATATTTCCCTTTGGGCTCTGACTAAGTGTGAGAAAGTTCAGGCTGAGAGGGAGTTTATTTGGAAAAGCAGTGAAAGGTTAGAAACAGGGATGTGGGCTGGAATAGCCTTGCAAATGTTAACTGTGGAGGCACAGGGCTAACACCTTGCATGTGCACAAACATTTGGAGGGCTGTGAATTCAAACCATGAAATTAATGTAGTCAAAATGGGTGTTTCCTTGCCCACACGTTACTTATACAGGATATGGTGTTAGTAATGTTCTGACAGGGATGGGAAGATGGAGGTGGTTTGCTGGTGTTAATTTAAGGAAGAACCTTTAGCATCTCTGTTTCTTGATTAATTTAAATATTCAAATTTGCAATCTTAATGTTTTCTGAAAGTAAGTTTTAGCTTTTGATTTCCTTTTACTTTTTTTGGATGTACCAGTGCAAAAACTGAGGAGTTCACTGTTGTACTTACTAACACCTTACACAATGAAAAGCCTGATGTAAATGGTGTGTGTGCACACCCACGGTGAACCATTAGTTATTTACAACTCTGTGATTCATTTTTCCAATGTCCTTATTTAATAATTCTCCTGCTCCTTGGGGAGAGCTATAAAAATGGATTTTATTTTTCTAATGTGTTTGCATTTTAAGTAGGTGAAGTCTCTTTAGATTCCCATTTACCAAACATGGAGATGAATATGTTCATCTTCACATTTAGATGACCAATGGGCTGAGACCAAGAATGATAAATTTTGGTGCAGGAGGAAGAATTAAGAATATAATGAGGAACTTAGTTCTGGGATCTACAGCATAAAGAAATTTTGAACTTAAGGCCCAGATATTTATCCCAAGTTATGGGAAGGTTTAGGTTGGATCTCAGGAAAAGGTTCTTCCCCCAGAGGGTGGTTGGCACTGCCCAGGCTCCCCAGGGCAGTGGGCACAGCACCGAGGCTGCCAGAGCTCCAGGAGAGTTTGGACAATGCTCTGAGGGACAGGGTGGGATTGTTGGGGTGTCTGTGCAGGGCCAGGGGTTGGGCTGGATGGTCCTTGTGGGTCCCTCCCAGCTCAGGACATTGTGTGATCTGTGGGTCCCTCAGAGCTGGAGCTGTTGCCTGTCCCAGAGCCCAGTTCCTGTGCAGCTCCAGGGCCGGGTCACTCATTCCCCTGGAGCAAGGCTGCTTTGGCCAGGTGCAGTGCTGTCCTTTGCCCCCAACACAGCTTCCTGCTGTGTCACTCTGAGTACACTGCAGGACTGGAATGGGAGAGTTCATCAGTGCAATTTCCCAGGTTTTCTGGAACATGAGAGTTCCATTTGCCTTTCTCTCTCTCTTAGTCCTGACCCAGCTTTCACATAACAGCACCAACCTCTTGTCTGAGGGTGGTGAAATCCTGGACCTGTTGTAGGGTAAATTTGAAGTTGCTCTTCTGACATAACTGTTACACTGAGGGTTCTTTTGGGATGTTCTCACTTGGGTATCCTGCCCAGTGTCTCACCTAAGATATGCTCAGGAACATCACACACAGTGGAGGGTTTAACGTTCCTGCAAGTCCTGCAGTTCCATAGCTCTGGAGAGAAGCAGTTTCTCTGTGTATAGTTTTAAACTGAGGTTTTAGAAGAGGAGGTTTTCAGGTTGTCTAGAATTTTGTGATCTTCCCATGATCTTATACAAAAAATTGCTAATGTACCCACAAAAATTAAATTCCTGCCCCTTTTCTAGGTACTGACCAAATAGACCATGTTTATAGAAATCTGGATGCAGACAAATCTCTTGCAGAGTTCCTAGGCAAGAAAATTCATGAAGAAATATATTTATTCCAATAAAAAGAAGTATCAGTTTGTCCTGAAGATGCCAGGAGAGTTTTACTGAGGGTAGAAATAGATCCCCCACTGTCCAGTGAGGGATACACTTTGCATCTTCCAACGTGCATTGAAATTTAGCAACAGAAAATGTGTATAAACAGCAATGCCATTAATTATTCCAAATTCTTCTTTCAGCCTGACCCTTTTTCTGTTGAGCTGCTTGTTGACATCTCAGCAATGTTGAACCTGAGTAGCACACAACAAACCCAAACACTGCAAGTATTTTAAGAATTTAAGTTCTCAGTGTTTTGATTTCTGAGGATCTTCATAACCAGGAAAGGCAGAGGGATACAAGGATCACCCTCCTGACACCATTTCCTTTCAGTGGAAAGGCTGGAGTTCTCAATTACCTCGAGTGATTGCAGAGGGGGGGGTTCTGCATCCCCCTGGCCTTGTTTTAATCTCATTTTGTTCTGTAAGAAGTTCTATGGAGTCAGGATCTCTTCTCCAGCGCTGCTCAGTCATTTAACTAGCACTTTTCCTTTCCACTTGGGAAACCAGGCACTGATTCCCATCTGTAAATCACAGTTCTAGTCATGGACAAGTGAGTAAGAAAAAGGAGAGATGAGGTTTGCTTTTCTTTTCTGAAATTCTCTGTGCTACATCATTTGATCTGACCAATTGTGGGGTACATAAGTATTGTGTTCCCATCCAAACCAGTTTGATTCCAGAAGGGGGTTATGGTGAAATGGCCCTTACTGTGTGTTATGCAGAGCTCCACAGTGTGGTCTGGATGGAGTTTTTCACCTGAGGTGGAGATTCAGATCCTTATGGAAATAACAAATAAATCTCCCTTCACCGACAGGTTATGTAGGTACAGATACACCTATTTAATTATGCAAGGTGAGGTACTTCATTGTCAAATTGCTGGTAGTAGCACCTTATCATACCCATGTCTCCATTCTTTATCTTATATTTAGTTACAAATAGAACAAAAAAGGATCCAACCCTGCCCCAAAGTGACACCAGAATGAGGAATTATGAAACAGGATCTGCTGGTGTCAGTTATATTGTCTGGTGTGTCCGAATTTTGTCACGGAGCCTGAATATCCTGGTTCATGGTCTGCTTTGGGGCATAATTGTAAAACACTATAATATTTTTGCTTTAAATTGCTGATGTTTGCTGTCTGTTTGGATTCAACCTGAGCATCCTTTTAACTGAGGGAGAAGGAAATTCATTGGTGTGTAGCATCCTGAGAACGCCGGGAGGTCCTTTCTCTCTCGACATCCAGTGAGTAGTGCCCAAAACACCTTTTCCCCAAAAAGTCTTTTTAAAAACATTCTAGAGTTTGTGACCATCAGGCTGTTCTGAACAAGGGTTCTCTCTGTCAGAAATTAAATGAGGATATTCCCCTCCGTAGGGAAGTTCCTGGTAGTCTGGCATTAAGTTTCCAAACGTGGTGGGATTGCATTTAAATCTCCTTTGTGATACGTTCAGCTGACATGTGGTTTTGATAAAGTATCACAGCATTTATAGCATTCTCTGGCCACTGATTTGAAAGCAGCTTAAAAATCACTGTGAAGTGAAATCAGCCCTATAGCTGCTGATGCACCTGCAGCAGCTCTTCCCAGGAGCTGGGCCTGGCTCTGGAATGCTTCAGGGAGAACCCAAGCACTGGCCTGTGGCTCCAAGCCCTCTCACTGCCATTTAGCCCCTTGCCAGCTGGAAGGTGAGCTGACACCTTGCACCAGTTTTTTGGTAGTTTCAGGGGATGTGACCCCTCTGTGAGGGTTGGGGATTACCTTAATCTTGGTTTGGCAGTTTGGATCCTGGGGATCCCCCTATGGGAAGCACCATGTTAAGCCAGCGTGTTCCTCAGTGTCTCCTGTGTTCTGAGCAAGGCCAAATGTTTGTGGGAAGGAAGTAAATGATTGTGAAATGAGTGATCTTGAATAGTTTGCCCACGGGGAAAATTTTTTCCTAACCCTCACTTAGGAACTGGCTTGTGCCTTTGTGTGTGAGGGTTTCTGTCCTTTCCAGATTTCTGGATTTTATTACTATTTAATCCTTACTGACGTAACTCTGGATACTTTAATCCTCTTAAGAGGTTGCTGCTGACTTTGGGCTCAGTCCTGCTCCCTTTTCAAGGAATTTTGCCATGAGACACCTTTAAGCTGAGCCCTGATGTAAATTGCAACTGATTTTACTGGCAACTCCAGCCTTGGCTGTAAAATGCAGTTGTGAAGCTGTAACCTCTGTGCAAGGCACAGTTGGAGGGGGAGGAGGTGGAGGTCTGTGTCTGTCTGCAGACCTGCATTCTGCCCCTCCTCACTGCCAGTCCAGGGTCTGGAAAGAATCCCCCAAAGGTGCCAAAGGCTTAGGCCAAAGGAATTGTCCGTGAACCTGCGCGGGGAACGTCCTGCCAGCTTAGGAAGACATAAATGTGTTCCTTTCCATCTAGGTGCCCCTCTGGCTGCGGAAAGGGAGAAGAAGCCTCTCTCCAGAGCTGTCTTTGTGCTGCCCTGGGTGGAATCCACAGAAACAAGTGAGGGTCCCAGACGTTTTTTCTCCCTGATGTGTTGTAAGGAAGCAGTAGCTGCACTCTGATTCTTCTGGGGAGGCTGCTCAGGTGGTGTGTGCTCTAGACACAGCTTGGAAAGGTGTTTCCCAGTGGGAAACATGCAGTGTGTTCCTCAGAAAATGCCAGCCTTTCCTGTTTCTTTGTATCAGGTGGATTAGTCATGGTCACTGGCTCTTCCTGAAGTGTTGGTGTTGCTCGTGGTTCCCTGCAGCGAGGCAGGAAACGTGATGCTTTTTCCAGGTACTGCCACACAGCCATTCCCCCGCTCCAGCCCTCTGGGTTTGCCACCAGCAGGACTCCCAAGGGCTCCAGCATCTGCTAGCAGATTTTCAGGAAACAGTCAAGGAATGTGAAACTGAGTATCAGAACATCTCATGGCCTGTCCTGTGATCCACAGGCCGAGGCTGGAGGGATGATGCTGCTGCTTCGTGGTCACTTCAGCCTCACTCAGAAAGCCTTTTTGGGGGGAGAACCATCACAACCTCAAATAGAGAGATGACAGATAAAGGTATTGCAGCTGTAAGAAATCCAGCCCCTCCCCTTCCAGAGCTGCTGTGGGCTTTATGAACTGTTTGGGAAACCTTGTTTCCCAAGGTGAACCAGGAATGTGGAATTATCACGGAATCACAGAATATATCATTTAGAATAGATTTCCTGGTATTGGGTGCTTCCTTTGCCATTCTCAAACCTCCTGGTGTAAAGGTGGCACCCTGACCATGGAGCAGGACGAGCAGTGTTGTCCAGAGTGCCCTCTTCTAATTTTCCTGCTTGTTTTTTTGACTGGGACCTGTAACAGTTTTGGATTTGGGGAATAATTCAGCTGTCCCTACCAGACAGCTATTTCTGCAGTGCTCTGCAGGAGTAGGATCATTTAGGATTCAAGAGTATCTGCAGAGTGCCAGTTGCCCTGAGAGCTCCTCTATCAAGTAGCTTTTGTGAATTCTGCCATTTGAAAGGTCAGTGTGAGTTCTGAGTCAGGTGAAAATTTTTCTTCACCTTGGAGGAGTCCTTAAGGAGCTCCTGCAGCTCTGGGCCCTTCTTGGGCTGTACTGTCAGCATTGCAGGGCTGTCAGCTGGATGGTGTATGGAACTGTTTCCAGTCTGGGTTTCTGGGATGCTGTTCAGAGCTCTTGGTTTCCAGTGGAAACCTGTTTGTACACAGCTTTTGTGGTATTGGATTCCTGCACTTAGGAGGGCGGGTTAAGTGATCTGTATTTGTAGTTTGTGATACAGAGGTCCTGACCTTTCAACACATTTCTGATTGCTCTTGTTCCCTTCCTGGGTTTCTAGAACAAAATCCACTGAGCCCAAGTGCCCAAGGAAAGAAGCCTCTTGTCCTGCCTGCCACTGCTGGACATGTGTTCTCCATCCTCCCTCTTTCTGCCAAAATGAGACATGTACTTCCTTCTCTGTGCAATATTTGAATCAAACCAGGAAAATATTCTCAAAATCTTTAATGCAGCATCTGGGAGGAGAGGAGAGCCAAGCTGGCTGCTCAGCCCCAGGGCAGGGGGTTCAGCAGCTGCAGGTCAGTGCTAACACAGACCACAGGGCAGGAGCCAGCCAGCAGCAAACCTGGAGATGGGCAGAGGAGAGCAGCATTGTTCCCTCTCTCTTATTGGGGTGCACTTGCAGCAGAAGGATCAAAAATGCTTTCAGACCCTGTGGAGTGATCTTGAGGTGCTTGGAAAACCTGCCTGTTTGCCACCTCAGTCCACCAGTCCTTCATAGCTGAGGAGCTGCCTTGGAACAAGGCTGTGCCTTGCCTTTTCTAATAGTAAGATGTGGTGCTCTATTTTGATGTGTATTAAGGATTAAATGTGGGCTGACTAAATATAGAAGGCTGGTGCTGCTTAGACCTCTCTGGAAGCACTGCTCTCCTTGGAAAGACTCCTGAGCATGAAGGGGAATGATACATGTTGGAGTTTGTTTTTTAACTGGATGTCTTTGAAGCCTTTTGAAGTTCTGGGTTTGCAGCAGAGTGGTGTTCTGTAGGCCTGTGGCCCGAATACCGGTGAGGGACAGCACTGAACCTCTGTGCTGGTGGGCTAAGGAGTGTTTTTCCCTGTCCTAGTAGTGCCTGTTGGTGTGGTTGTGCTTTTGGTGGGGCTGCACTGCATTGGTGTCTCCCTGGTGACAGCAGAGAGCTTGAATCTGAGCAAACTTGCTCAAGTAGCGTTAGTTTGGCTCTGTCTGGTACTGTCTCTCCAGAGGTTTAGGGATGGAGTTTCAATGTGGGCTTGCAGCCACATTTCCCACGGAAAGCTGTGTTGTTACATGTATTGGATATGGTGCCCCAGATGGATACCTTGATGTAGTGGTTGTAACCCAGAGCAGGGAAAGTACACTGGAACAGGCTCCCCAGGGCCATGGAGGCCTGACAGAGCTTAAGGAGCATTTTGACAGTGCTCTCTGGATTGCTGGGGCTGTCATTGGACTTCATGATCCTTGTGGGTCCCTTCCAGCTCAAGATATTCTTGGATTCCAATTAGTAGTGCACAGCTAATTCTGCTCAGGGAGTTTCTTGCTATGAAAGCAGTTGCTGCTGGGATCAGCACTGGAAGTGTTGGAAGGCTGTCAGCAAAGATGGCTTTATCGGGTACGAAGGAAGGAGTCTGGCACATGGGGGCAACCCTGAAGAAGGGCCATTGTTCAGAGGTAGAGCTTGGCTGCACATGGGCAGCTCCTGGTGCTTTCTCAATTCTCCGTACAGCTCCTCAGCTGAGGCTTGGCACTGTGCACTGGGTTCTCTTGTGGAGTAGAGAAGATTAGTGCCAGTACCAGCTGGAACAAATTCCTGCTTCTGTGTAGTCTCTGGAGGTCATTCTGCCTGCAGGAAGACAGTCCCCTAACAAAACAAGCAAACCCCTGTTTCTCTTGGGGTGTGCTGTTAGTGTTGTCTGTGTTCCATTTCCCTGCGCAGCCCAGGGAAGGAAGTGCTCGTATCCAGCACGTGCCACTCAAGGCTCACTGCTGACAGGGAGATCCCCACTGTGTTAGAGACCACAACTGGCTGTGCCTGAGTCTGTGAAATGGTGTGTTAGTTAGTTTTCCTCTGTTCTAACAAGTCTCCTTATTTACTGAGCACTTTTCTTCCAAACTAAGACCATAATAGTTTTCTTCCTCTGAATGTGGAAGTGCTTGGTCTTTGGGACTCCTTTGAAGAATTAATCTTTAGGTCATCTCCTGCATGGCTCATTGTACTTCAAAAAGGAGCTTGGTTCCTTTTGAGGACACCAGCGAGGTGGGACTGATGACTGATGCCACGTTATGAGTTTTCTCTGCTACTAATTGACTGTGGGGTTTTTTGCGAAGCAGAATGAAGGGCAAAAAGTGATTCTTCATTTAGTGCTGAACATCACGTGCTGCTGAACTGAGTGGTGAAGCCAAGTGAGCAGTTAGACTGTACCAACACATCCTAGCTTAAAATATGGAGTTATTTTAAAAATTATGGAGAAGTAAAATAAAATGTGTACACTCTGGTGTGTTCAAATATGGTAAGGAAGAGGTGAAAACAAGGCTTCAACTTTGCAGATAATATGGATGTATGGGACACAAACAGCTGAGCTGCTGAATGGCAGCTCCTCTGTGGAGCTGTGGTAGCTGATGTCCTTGCTCTTGTTAGAGAGTAAAACATTAATTTCAAACTCCTTTGTGGCTACACCAGCTGATGTGTTTCCCTGTGTTTGCCGTGGGCTCGTAGCACCAACCCACCAGCTGCTGCAGTGAGTGCAGTTACTGCTGAGGGATGGCAGGTGTACCCCAAGGTGTGTGTCAGGCTGTGCCCCGAGGTGGGTGTCAGGCTGCACCCTGGGGTGTTTGTCAGGCTTACCCTGAGGTGGATGTCAGGCTGTACCCCAAGGTGTTTGTCAGGTGTGTGTCAGGCTGTACCCCAAGATGGATGTCAGGCTGTACCCCAAGGTGGTTGTCAGGTTATATGCCAAGGTGGATATCAGGCTGTACCCCAAAGTGTGTGTCAGACTGTACCCCAAGGTGTGTGTCAGGCTGTACCTCAAGGTGTGTGTCAGGCTGTACCCCAGGGTGGATGTCAGGGTGTTCCCTGAGGTGGATGTCAGGCAGCAGAGGGTGGAAAAACCCCACCAAGCTGACAAGGAAAATCCTCTTCCCACAGTGATGTGAGAGCTGAGCCAAAGACACCGTTGTCTCCATTCAGATCAAGCCACATTCATAACCATCTTGAGCTGTTTTGCATCTGTCTGTCTGCCCCACACAGCTGTGCTGATGGGGGTCAGTTGTTGCTGGGATGAAGTGGGGGGGCATAGGGTACAAACATGCCTGAAATCAAGCTTCACCAGTCCTCCTTCCACTGAGCACTGCACTGTCCTGTATGTCTTGGATTCCTGGTTCTCTTGGCTTTGTTGGTTCTCTTTGGTTTTGTGGTTCTAATAGGATCCTGGATGCAGTCAGGAATCAGTGAGAACTGAGTGTGCAGTCACACCCAGTCCATGTTGGAGTTGGCATATTGAGACTTTGATTTCTAAGAGCTCACACACTGACTCTGTGTTTAGTTCTGCCACTTTTTCCCCATCCTGAGCAGTACTTCCCTGCTGTAGCACGGAAAGGAGATGTTAGCAGGGCCTGCTGCTCTATGTCTCTTGTGTGAGGTCTGTGTAGGCTGCACTGCAGAGCAGAGCTGCCTGAATAGGAACTAAATCAGCATATGCCCCCAGCCACATAGCACAGGGGGGACAGGATGAGCCCATGGCTGTCTGTGTGCCTTAGAGATCTGACAGAGCACGTGGGATGGGTGTCAGTGCATGGGGGTGTCTGATTGAGCAGTGTGGCTGCAGTGCTTGACTTTCACCTCAGAGTTTCTAAAGTGGCCTGTTTTCTTCTTCCTACAGACAATTTTAGGTATACATGTGACATTTGTGGGAAAAAATATAAATACTATAGCTGCTTCCAGGAGCACAGAGACCTGCACGCCGTGGATGGTGAGTAATGTTTTGACACTCAGACACCCAAACTAGGATGGGAAGTCCTTGGGGAAACAAAATGTGGTTCTGCAGGACCATGTGGCCCATGATGTGCAGGACATTTCACAGCCTGTCTTTGCCGTGGAGACACAGCATCCAGGCTCTGCAGGAAGGAGTTTGCTGTGCTTGATTCTCTTGGTGTGCATCAAAACAACACCCTATGCTGGGACCTGGGGGCTCTGGTCCTATCTGCAGTGAAGTTCCTGCTTAGGGTGGATATCCTGGAGTGCCTCAGGGTAAATGGTCAGCCTGCCTACTCACTGGGAAAGACTTGGTTGAATTTTGGTTTCTGACTTTACAGGTTTGTTCACAACATACTCCTCTGAGAGAAACCACATTTCAGAGTTGGTTGTAATCACCCTGGTAGTGAACTGATGGGCAGTGGCCCTTACAGGCTCATTTTTCCTCTCTCTGTGGCTGTAGATGTGGCCTAGGCTGGTGACACTTGGACAGAAGCAGATCTCCACTGCCTGATGCAGTGTTGCTTTATCCTACATGGTGGGAAAGAGAAGCATCAACATACTGACTTTGGCTTGCCCCCTGCTTACTGGGCATCCAAAGCTCCTCAGCTCAGAGCCCACAGACTCTCCAAACCCTCACTGTGTGTGCTGCAAGCCTCTAAGTACTGCCCCTCACTTGGCCAAGGATGGAGCCCTGCCAGAGTTCTAGAAAGAGGCTCCTTGGAAAACAGCAGGTTTTGAGCAGCACTGTCTCAGAAAAGCAAGTGTTTTTTTTACAATACATGGTGTCCAAAAGAATGGCTGTGTTTAACTGGAGTGTGTGGACATCTGAACGTGCTCTAAGGACAGGCAGTGTTCTCCTGCAGGGCACCACTGCCAGCTCCCTCCCTCTCGTGGGGAGCCAGCATGAGATTGGTGGGACTGGGAGTCACTGTGAGGAGAACATCTCTCCTTCAGTCAGGGAAGTCTCATGGCTGTGGTTCAGGAGCTCTGTCGAGGGCACAATGGGGCTTGGAAATGGCCCCACGTGTGCCCCACAAGGACACTGTGTCAGTCCCTGAAGGGCTGGGGGTGTTCTAGCACACGCAGGTGTGAGGCAGCTGTGCATCTGAACCTCTGTGGGGCCGTGGCAGTGTCAGAACAAAGGCCTTGAGGATCTGTGTGGATTAGGGCTGGGCATGCTCAACTACTTCCTGTGTGGATGCTGCTGGGAAGAGGAGTGACTGGGGCACAAAGCCTGGTTTATTCTGTGGGGCTGAACTATGCTGAGCAGTATGTGAAATGCAGGAGGAAAACAAGACCTTTTAAGAGGATTTAATTTCTGTTTTGTTTCTTCCCCTCCTTCTTTTATTCTGTGTTAGTTTTTAGTGTGGAAGGGGCCCCAGAAAACCGGGCAGGTAAGCCGAGCTCCTTTGTGTGCTTTATTTCACAAACCTTTTCAAGCATTCAGTAGCTGAGACACAGAAGGTCCGATTCTGAACTTGGAAGAGTCAAGGGAATTTTGTCATGGATTGCAGAGGGACAGGGAGTGTCCTCTCTCCCTCCCCCAGTGTCTATAGCCAGTAGGTTGATGCCCAGCCCTAGCAGATACCAGGCTTTTGTTGCACATACAATTGATCAGGCTTCAGAAAATCAAAGAAGTGGGTGTTTCATGTCTTTGGTGTTTTAGTGAATTGTTCAAGGTATAAATTAAATTCTTTTATAAAATGGGTTGGGTTCTGATTTGTTGCTAGCTGTGCTGTTAGCTGTAGAAGTCCCAGGTCAGTATTTGGTAGGTGACTTGCCTGCAGCCTGCACTGCCCTGCCCACTTTCAGGCAGTACAGCAGTGTCAGAGGGGAGATGCACTGGAAGAAAACCAGAAAATATGGATCAGACGTTGCAATGTGTTTGTTCAGTTTTTCCTCTGTATTTTTTAAACATTAATACCTAAAAGGCATGTTCCTGGGCTGGAAGCAGGGATAATCCTGGGGCACCCAAGGAGGAGGAGAAGGGACAAGTCAGACAGAGGGGTCATTTGGTTTATAATTCTTGTCTTCACATCTTGTTGCAGATGGAAATGTCATACAGATGCAGGAGCATTCAGTGCCCGTGCAGCTGTAGGAGGCAGCCCTGAGGGTGTGTCAGCTGAGCTGCTGCTCTGTTCTCTTGCAGACCCCTATGACCAGGCCGTCATCGCCGCCGACGAGGTCAAGGAGGAGGAGCCGGAGCCGTTCCAGAAGATTGGGCCAAGTAAGAGTTATTGCACAGCTTCAAAGGAGAGGGGAAGCACAGGGGGTCACATCTGCCCTTAGCTGGAGTACCTCTAGGAAAAGCAGGAAGCACTGTGGTACACAGAGCTCTTGGGACTTGATATGTTCAGGTTCAAATGAGCATCAAACACCAACAGCCCTGGCCGTGAGAACTGCAGCTTTGTGATGTTTCCTGTTCAAGAGCTCTGCAAAGGGAAGAGGTAGAGGGTTTAGGGGAAAAGCAGTCTGGCAGCAGTGAGGTGGCAGAGCTGGCAGGTGATTTGTTCACACTGCCTTTGTGGAGGGTCATTGGGGCAGAGGGAAGCAGACAGAGCACCAGACAAAGCATTTCTTCGAATTCTTCACTTTGGAAATGATTGATTATCCCTGGGTTTTCCTTTGGCTTGCACCTTGCTGTCAGTTGTGGACTGACACTGGCAGGAGCAGGAGGTGTCAGTGTGTGGTTACACTCCATTATTTCCAGTGCCCCCAAAGCAGGAATGAGCACTGTTGCTTCTGAAAAACCCCATCTCCTGCAAGAGAACTCTACAATCCCAATATAAAAGTTCTCTAATACTGAAGTTTGACTACTTGTTTCCTAGTTTGACTCTTCCCGTTGTCCACACATCACAGACTTTCTGTAGCCAGAGGACAAAACTGTGCCATCTGTAATACAGACTTTAGAAATGGATTCTCTCCTTTGTTTTGCACTTACTTGCTGTAATTTTGGGGTAATCTCCTGCAGCTTGTTCAGTTCTACAGGGTTTTTTATGCACAGTCCATCCCTCTGGTCACTGCCTTGAGCTGTTTCCTTTCTTGGGGAAGGATGTGTGGATTACAGGGGAGGTGAGTTCCACATGGATGAGGAATGTGCTCAAGTTTGTGTCACCAGTTTATATGTAAAAAGACAAGAACTGGGGGTTATGTAAGAGAGCTGCACCCCTTCCTGATCTTCGTATTTGTGTCATTTCACAGAAACTGGCAATTACACCTGTGAGTTCTGTGGGAAGCAGTACAAGTACTACACTCCCTACCAGGAGCACGTGGCCCTGCATGCTCCCATCAGTGAGTATCTGCTGTTCCACTGCAGGCTCTGATTTACAGGGTTGTGCTGAACATGAGGGTGGCAGGAGAGAGATCATTCTTGTGGATCCTTCCACTGGAGCTATGGGATTGCAGTGGGCAGGACATGGATCATGTGCTGCCCAGGGACTGTAAAGCTGAGCTGGGATCTCCTCTCACAGGGACGCTGTTAAGTCAGTCACCAACTTGTACCCCAGTCCATGCAATTCTACACATGTTCCCTGGGGGTTTGAAGGTTTAGTTTGTTGTGTAACTGCAGTGATGCACAGAATTTGTAGGCTCTCCTAAATAATAACTGAATGTACATGTTAGGGAAGAAGCATCTTTCTTACGAGCTTCTAGGAGGTTATTTCAGACAATGAGTTAAAACTGGGTTTCAAAATCATGTACATGACCTTGTCAGCCTGCTACTAAATCACAGGCAAGAAACTATTTATTTCAGAGAGCTCCAGAAAAGGCAGTTCTTACTGCAGCCTGCACTATGGAGCGTGCCTTCCCCAGACAAAGGGGAGGTTTTAATGAACAATTCTGTAATTCAGTGCAAAATTTGAGTAAACTAGTTTAGAGAAATTCTTGCTACCTGCTGGCTTTGAATGCTCTAAAAGTATGCAGAGAAGTTCTTTACACCTGAACTTCCTGCTCCTTTCCCGGCATTGCCCTGGGCTTTGCTGTGAGCTGTTCCTTGCCCGGGTGTGTGCTGCTCCGGCGTTTGGGATGTGGAGAGGAGGGATGGGCTCAGCTCCTCCCTCAGGGGTGCCTCCAGCTGCCGCCAGCAGGGGGGGCGCGCGCGCCTCCCTCCCCAAATTGACCTTCAATCGGGATTTTAAGGGATCCTAGTAAGTCATCTTTGGGTTTATGAGAACACAGTCCACCAGACTGTCACTTTTAAGGTGAGCCAAGGTTTGGTGGCTCTTGACAGCTCCCATGCAGGTTCTCTGAAGCTTGGAGATAGAGCAGGATCAGGGCAGAAGGTGCAGGGCACAAAATGCCTCTACCAGCAGCATAGCAAAGTTGATCTCGTTGTCTGCCATCCTCTGAAGGAACTACCCCAGTAATGTGATTGCACACATAACAGTTATTCCTGAGCTTCCCTGCCCCCCCGGCTGCCCCTCTTCGTTCAGGTGTTCTCAGTGCTCAGCAGAGCCGTGGGTGACCAGCAGTGGGTCAGTCCCTGCCACAGCTGTGCCCTTGGGCACCAGGCTCTGGGGTCACTGGTGCCCCCACAGAGAGCTCAGGAGCAGTGAGCTGTGAGGACTGGGCACTGGAGCTCTGCTCAGCTGTAGCAGGTTCTTGCCTTCCCAGTACCTCCCATTTCAAGGGGATTTATTGCCATGGATATCTTTCCACCCTCCCAACCATCTGAAGCAATAGCTGAGCTGTTGGTTCCGGTCCAGGAGCTCCAGCAGAAAAGAAACCCACAGCACTTGTTCTCTGGGAGGTGTTTCCCTGAGGTGGGCCCTGCAAAGGCCTCCACAGGCCCTGCCCCTCCCATGGGCAGCTCAGGGGCCTGGCCCAATCCCTACTTTGTGGCTGCTGGGGCCAGTTTTGGAGGAGGAGGAGGAGGAGGAGGAGTGTTCTTTGGAACACTGGGATTGAAACCATTCCTGCACCCTGGTTTCTACTGTGAAAGAAAAGAAGCTGCCTCTAACTGCAGACTAAATCAGCAGCCAGAGATGTGCAGATGAGTTTCCAGTGCTTTCAAATATCTCCAACTCTGAGGACACTTAAGATCAGATCAAGATAATATTTTCACAAGGTTTAACCCCTTCCCCATAAACTTTTCTTTTTCCTTTTTTTTTTAACCATGTTTTTTCCTCTCCTAGTTCCCATGGCCAGTAACATTTATGATTTGCAATCTCATACAATCTCCCACAGGAGAGGGCACAGTGAGCTCCCAAAGCAGACTGGCCAGTACATTCCCCCACCTTTCAACTGCTGAGACTCTGCTCTTCCCAAAATCCAAGGTCTTGGGAAGCAGCTGGCTTTTGAAAAGCACAACTGGCTTTTTTGGACCCTTGCAGTCAGAAGTAAAGCTGAGACTGTGTCTTTACCCTAGTCTTGTTCTTCTGGGCATAAGGCAAATGCTGAAAAATAAGTCATAGCAGGAATGGGTAAGGAAACCCCTTTAGCATTCCCAAACCAGCTTTCTGAAGCTTGAGTGCAAGCTTCCCTTCCAGAGCCTGTCCTTCTGGTTTTCTGTGATAATGGATAAAAAGTCATTGAAAGTGGGCTAAAACAAGGACTGAAATCCTGCAGGGTCAATAGGAACCTTGCAGGATAATTTTTGGTCAGTGCTGCTGTCTGGAGAAGAACTCTGCTGTGGGGTTCCCTGGAATTATTAATGCCAAATGTCTCCAAAGTTCACTTTTTTGAGTGTGGAGCAGTGGCTTTTTCATAAGCCTAGAACTGGGCTATGACTCTTTAAAAATACACATTTCTCTGTTTCTGTCAACATATTCACTCTTTCGAAGAAGGGTGTCAGGGACTGTTTCCAGTACAAAAGTGGATTGTAGGCACAACCACTGTCCCAGTTTTAGAAATGTCTCTGAATGGAGGAGCATGGGGAGGGTTCAGAGATTTGTCTGTCCTCCCTCAGGCTCTGGCTACTTTGTAAGGTGGGACTGATTGAACCACGTTTGCAGGTGGCTGGGCTGTTGGGATTGCTTGGAAAGATGGAGAGGGACTATTTGCCAAGGGTCTGGAGTGACAGAACAAGGAGGAATGGCTTCAAACTGCCACTGAGTAGGTTTAGATTGGATATTGAGAAGAAATCCTTCCCTGTGAGGGTGGGGAGGCCCTGGCACAGGTTGCCCAGAGAAGCTGTGGCTGCCCCATCCCTGGAAGTGTCCAAGGCCAGGTTGGACGGGGCTTGGAGCAACCTGGGCTGGTGGAAGGTGTCCCTGCCCATGGCAGGGGAGTGGAATGAGTTGAATTGAAGGTCTTTTCCAACCCAAACCATTCTGGGATTCTGTGATGTGCTTGCAGTGCAGAGAAAACTTGGAGCGTTGGGGATGTGGACTGGCTGTAAATCTACCAGGAGTGGGATTTAGCTTTTAGTGGGATTTCCCAAGTCCAGGCTTAGGAATGTGCACTCACCACATCCTTCTCTGGTACCTGCAGATAAGGCAACAGACTCCCAGGTCACTGAAGCATGTGTTGAGAGCACTAAACTCTCCACAGCTCTCCATGTCTTTTGCTTCCAGGATGAAAATCTAAAGTGATGTTAGGGCCCTGAGAGCATTAGTAGGTCCTGAAGGCCCTAAGCAGCCTCACAGGGGGCCTGTCCCCAGTGTCACACTCCCTGTTCCAGCTCTGAGCCATCAGGCCCTGCCTGGGCTGCACTGTAGGATGTTGGTCTCCAGCTCTGTTGTAGACATGCCCATGCCTGGCTGTGGATCCCAACGCACAGATTGACTTCCCAGCTTGATGTCAACCCTGTCCCATCATTCTGGACCTCCCTGAGGATCACTGGTGTGTGTCTGGCCCTGGGTAACCTCACTAGAGCTGATCCTGCTGCTGACCTGTGGATTGACTTCCCAGCCTTACCACAGACCTATGTCATTGCCATGAACTTCCTGAAGATCTGGTCCTGTGGTTGAAGCTGTCTGTCATCTCTGGTCCTTGCTCACCTCTCTCAGGGTCTGTGGGATGGGCCCTGGCTGTTGAAGACCCTTCCCTGCCAGCCCTGGGATCATTCTTGGCTCTGTAGGGGACAGACAGACCTATACCCACCCTGACACCTGAGGTGCTCAAGGAAGTTCATCCAGCTTCTCTGCTCAATTCCTTTCCTTTTTGTGAAGGACACTGGATATCATTTGTGTATCAAAAGTGCTTGAATGCAGTGTTTCAGGAGGGCAGCTGCCCTCATGGGTTTTCCCTTAGAGAAAGGGATCCTTTTTGGTAGCACATGTGGTTTCCACACAGCTCCTGTCTAACCAAGAAAAAACCAGCTCCAGATTCCATGGATAGTCTTCCCTCAGTGAGGGACATTATGAGTTTTTCCCACTCTCTAATCCCACAGTGCCTTGGCAACAGGCTCCACTTGTTTGTGTGTATAAAGGCACACATTAAAATTTGATAAGGTTAGAGCAGAGGGGATTTCCTGTGGAAAGACTTGTTTGCCATAGCAGAGGTGTCTGCTCAGAGCATTGAATTTCAGGCCATTGTTAAGGAATCACTTTCCATCATATTCAGTAGAGAGAGTTTTTTCTCCACAGGTGATGGTATAATTTCATCTGAACCATCCAAATGGCTTCTTACCCATCCTGGCAAGATCTTTCTGAACAAATGCCATACACAAATTATTAGCCAGAATTTTTGCCTGGAAAAAGTGATGTTACTGAGATAATCTGATCTCTGATGTGGTGGTGCATTGTGGCAGTGAGTGGATTTATGTGTGCCACATTTTCTCCTTGCTGCCACAGCTTGCCATTCACAGGGCTCGAAGGCCTTCCCAGAACCAGGAAAGCCAGCAGGGACCACTGTGATCTCTGGACTGCCCAGAGAAACACATTCTGTAGGATTGCCTTGATTTAGCTGCTCATAGATAAGTTTTAGAGAGAAATCTAATCTTGCTGTTGAGTGACAGAAAATATAGCAATCTCTTAAGTTAATTATTGTGATGCATTATTACCCTCACTAAATTGAGCCTGAAAATATCCAACTGTAGCTTTCAGACACCAGGTCCTATTTATAACTTTGTCTGCTTGGTGAAGGAGGACTAAGTTACCAAATTTCTGGCCTTTGCAGACCCTTGCACAGCCTGCTCTCAGGTCCCTAATCTCCCAGTTAAGCCAAAGGACTGACTTGTGTTTCCATTGTAAGCTCTGCTGCTCTTGTTCTTCATTTATCCTCCTGTCTTCTGCCCTGACTGTTCTCCAGTGAGTTCCCCACCCTCGTGCAGGGCAGGGCCCAGCACTGGCTCCTGGAGGAGCCAAGAGCTCCCATTGTGTCCCCAATGCCCTTGGAAGCTGCCCCAGTTCACACCCAAAGAGAACCTCTGTCATTTCAGCCCCAGCATCACCCTGGGAGCTCCTCTGCAGCCACCCTGACCGAGCACAGCAGTGAACAAGCTTCTTCCTGCTGCCAAGGTGGAGTCCCCCAGCTTTTCAGCATCACCTGGATCATGTGGATCCTTGAGCACATCGTGTGCCACTCTCAGAGCTGCAGCACAGAGCCCTCAGTGACTGGAGATCATGCAGTGAGAATCACTCTCTACATCATTCTTCTCCTGCTCTCCCTTCTCCACCTTCCACTGGGACATGTCTCAGCTGCTTTCCAAGAAAGTTTAAAAAGTTCCAGAGCAGCAGTTATGGGATTGTCTGCCCACAATGTTCTCTCCAGTCTTGCTGTGTAGCTGCAGATTTTGAGGCAGGAGGTTTTTGTGGCCATTCAGCAACTCAGTATTTTTATTTTTAGAAATATCTTGGCCTTTTTGTGAGCCTGAGGCAGATGACTTTTCAAGAGCAGAGCAGAGGAGCTGCATGATGGTCTCTACCTGTGTTGCTCAGTTTTCAGAGGGAATTTGTCATCTGATGAGCATTTTTTTCCCAGTGAACTATTATCATCCTCCAGACTGCTAGAACTAATATTCCTTTGTCTGCCTTGCATTGCTGGCTCAAACTCTCTCTGCCTGGTGTCAGATGGAGAAGCCTTCTCTCTGGGGTCTCAGTTTGAAGACATACTATTTGTTTAAGCTGGGAAGAAAAAGAAGAAATTTTGGAGGTCATCACAGCATTGAGACTTTTCTCTTCAGGTCTCAGAGAGCAGTGTCTGGGCTGCAGAGGATGTACAATGGTGCTCTTTGTTTCTGATACTGAAGAGTTGGCTGAGTGCTGTTTCCCTTGGTATGGATGGAGAATAAAGCAGCAATTGGTGGGAATGGTCCTCATTGGAAACCAGATGACACATAAGGAGGAAATTTTCATATCTGACTACATTTTTGCTGGCAGCAACTGGAGGAGGATTATCCATGGAAATTGAAAAGAAGTATAGGGAGCAAAACAAGCCTCCTGCCTATTCAGCTGGCCAGAGAGCAAGCAGAGGAGAAGTATCCTGACCTAAACTATGAGAAAACCCAGTGCAGGATCTCCTGCAGAACAACAGAAATGTCAGCCTAGGTCTGTGTGTCAGAGCAAGTGAAACAAAATACCTGGAGTTACAAGCCCCTCTGGATGTACACATCCCACTCCCCAGTGCTGCTGAGAGGGGTCACATTTGAGGTCTGTAATGTCTCCTTGGACTTTTGAAGTGAGCATCCAGTCTCACTCTGAGGAACTTTTCTCCTCCCCTGTTTCAGAGTCAGGCTGTTGTGCTGCCATGGCATTCCATGACATCTGCTCCATGTGGATAAGTATTCCTCAGTTACAGTCTGTAGGATGGGCAGGTGCTGGTGTGGTCCATCTGCCTTTAGGCATCCTACAGTGTCACTCTGTAGAAATTACTGAGTGCAATTAGGGAGATTGGGCTGTGGGTTAAAAAACTGTGGGTTAAAACCTTGTTTCTTAGTGATTCTTCATGACAGATGGTTGGAGTGAGACTTGGGCTCCAGGAGCCGTATCCAAATTTCCACAGAAGAAGCCACTGAGGAATGAAGGTGTTTCTTAGATAATTTCTCCATTTTTGTAATTGGTTTTTTAATCCATGTGGCCCAGGCAAAGGGCTGTTCTCCTGAAGGTTTTTTCACATGACTTTTGGCATTGAAAATTCCTGGTGATCCTTGCAGAGACCAAAATGGAGATGCATTCAAAGAACATATCCCAGTAATACTGAGAATTTCTCCACGTGTCACCAGTACTGATCTGGAGATGGGGACCAAAAAGCCTTTACTCACTCTGCCTCCTAATTCCATTTCATTCCCAACAGCCCCTTTTCCTTTGTACTTAGTTGAAGAGGCAAGGAATGTAGCTGGAGATCGTTAGGATTTATGCAAGGCTCAAGGAACAAAGATGTAAACTTCTCTCTGCTCAGAGCCCTGAGTGTCACTTTAGAAACCTGCTCTCAAAATCCAATACCTAGAAATGGAGGCAGAGCTGCAGGTTCACCCAGCCAGGCTGTGGCAATCCAATGGTGCTCCTGGATGGATGGGGTGATTCCTGCTGGAGGAGGAATGGGTTGGTCACATGGCAGGTAAAGGTGTGGAAGGGAGTTAACAAGCTTCAGTAATCACCCTGGGGTGAGTGGGGAAAGCAGTGCTGTTCCATGGGATCGGTGCCATTCCCTGGGATCGGTGCTGTTCCCTGGGATTGGTGCTGTTCCGTGGGATCAGAGCTGTTCCGTGGGATCAGAGCTGTTCCCTGGGATCGGTGCCGTTCCCTGGGATCAGTGCTGTTCCCTGGGATCGGTGCTGTCCCCTGGGATCGGTGCCGTTCCCTGGGATCAGAGCTGTTCCCTGGGATCAGAGCTGTTCCCTGGGATCAGAGCTGTTCCCTGGGATCAGAGCTGTTCCCTGGGATCAGAGCTGTTCCCTGGGATCAGTGCTGTTCCCTGGGATCAGAGCTGTTCCGTGGATCCGTGGTGGCTGCAGTGCCCATGCAGGGATGGCTGAGCGTGGCTGTCGCGCAGCAGCTCCGGCAGGCCCAGCTCTGAGAGCTCACTGGCTGTGCAGGCACTAGTTCTGATGTTCATATCCAGAGTTCTCTCGATCTCCACTCTTCGTGGCAGTGAAGACCCAGACGAGCCAGTCCAGCAAAAAGTCTCCGGCGTCCCTAAACCGCTGTTCCGGCCTCCTGCACCGCACCCCCTCCGGGGTCCCGCCCGCCTCCCAGTCCCAGATGTTCCGCACTCCAAATTCCGGATCCCCAGGAAGCAAGGCCATCACAGGTACCAGTTGCCTTTCTTAACTGCTTAGTGTCCAGTCCTACCCTGGGTTGGCTTTTGACCCTCACTGGACTCAGTCTGCTCCATCCATGACTGTCCCAGAAAAACTACTCCCAGAAGCCCTTGAATGGATTAGATCCTTTGGCACATTATAAATAAAAATTTACCTCAGCAGTAGATCTTTATAACCTCTTCCCAGTGAGAAGTTGGTTCTGTTAAGCATTGTGGTAATCACAAGGTTTTAAAGGACCTTGTTTCAAATCCTGGTGTCACAAACTGAGGAGAGCTTCCTGACAAGGATTGGTGTGATGGCTTGTCAGGAATGGGGATTTTTGTTTGGTTTTCAGCATTGTTTGGCATTTAGTGTTTGTTTCCCTCAAGGTGATGTTTCCAGGGCTATGTCCATGCCTTTGGAAGTGAAATGGAGTACAGGTGTTTTCCCAGTGCTCCACTCCCCAGGAAACTCCAAGAGATAAACTGAGCTCCGGCAGAAAAGTCAATGTCACAGAACCGTTACAGAAGCATCAGAAAGCTCAGGTTGGGATTGATCCTCCCATTGTCTGTATCCTCCTTCCAAACAAGATTGAACCTTAAAAAAAAAAAGTATTAAAAGAAAGCAAAGTATTAAAAGAAGCAACTGAAAAATAACAGTTAATAAATAGGATGTGAGGCATAATGTGACGTGCAGGCAGCTAGGAAGCACTCTCCTAAGTCTGTGGGATTGATGGATATGTATTCCAGCTGCATGCAGCAGAAGGGCTGGTCAATCAGTTGGTGTTTAGATGCCCCTGAAATGTCTGGCAAGGGCAGATGCCGAGTACAGGGGTGGCTGTGCTGGGAGAGGATGCAATGGTGAACAAGGGGGGGTTGTTAGATACCACACACATCCACAGCTGCCGGGGCTTGCTGAGAGACCTGTCTTTTTCAGCTTGTGAATCCTGGGATTCCATATTGTTACTGCACCTCTTAGACATGGATATGATGTTTTTACTAATTTGAGGTCCATCCATCCTAACCAAGTCAGGAGTTAAAGCTGACAAACCTTTTTCATTATTTACTTAAACTTGCAACAACTTTTTCCAGTTTCATGTCTCACAAAAGTGGAAAAACAGGGAGTCTTCTTGGACCAGAGGCCAGTCATCTGAGCAGAAACCGGGAGATGTTTTTTGTAAGAGCACTCTTTTTCCCCCACTGCTCTAATGAAAAGTGGGTCAGAACACTGGGAATAAACTCAGAGCTGTTCTCTTCCTTTCCGGGGGAAGGAATCACTGATGGTAGATGGATCTTCACAAACTAATCCTAGTCTGGGGTCCCACCCCATCTGTCATTTCCATGGGGTCTTTCATGGCTGTGTCTTGTACAAATGCAGTCTGAGGGCTCCTGGAATTCCTGATACAAAGGCATTGTGTGTAACACCCACCAGGAAGAATCTCCAGAAGGGGTGGCTTCTGAGTGCTGTGGTTAGAAACATTCCACATTCCACATGGGCCTGGATAACTCCAGAGATAGGGAGGTACCACTCCTCTGCCAGGGCTTGCACAGACCCTTGGTAGAGTGGCACTGACTTGGTCTGTACAGATCATTTTGCTTTGCACACAGAAGGTTCAGACACAAGGAGAGAGAGAGAGTAGGTGGGAGCTGCCCTCTCCTGTGTGGGAAGGACACAGTAAGACCAGTAAGACCAAGCAGTTTTTTATTGCCAGACTTAGGGGGTAAAAAAAAGGCCAGGGAATGAGGGCAAAACCACCATGCAAATTTTTTCCAAGCATTTTTGGAGACCTCCAACTCACTTCCAATTGTGACATAAGCCAGGATTTGAACCTGGGTCTCTTGAGGGGGTGGGTTGACCCAAACCATTTTGTCATGGTCTCTTTTTCCACTGTGCCATCTGATTTTAAGGCCTCTCATTTCTAGTATTTATCTCTCAAGTAGGGTGCATAGATAATGTCTCCATTTCCTTTGCAGTCATGTTTTGTGTGTTTCTGTTTTAAATTATTTGATTACCAGGTTTTTCTGTTCTCCTGAATTTTAGAAGGAGTCAGGAATGTAGTAGATTGAGAGTTTGAGAATCCTGCTCAGGACTTGGAAGGGTCCACTGGCGATTGGCTGGGCCAAAATCCGTGGGCTGGGACCTTCTTGCAGTTCAGGTTTTTGGTAACCTCACCAGCCCTACAGCCCCTGTGTGTGAGCCACACTGCAGCACGAGGAGCCTGCAGGAGCTGGGGTCTCTGGGGAAGTCCTGGCAGCTGTTGTGACCACTCCATGGTCTGCAGAAATCCAGACTGAAATCAAGGTCTGATACCAGTGTTCAACAGTCCCCATCACTCTGAATGAAGCACAGTCTGCAGGCTGAGAGCCCAGCAGAGTCCATATGTCATTGGGTGACAGGGAAGGGTCAGTCCAGCACAGACCACACACAGTAGTTAGACCAGTTAACATTTTTTTTTATTTTTAGTTTGTCCTTTGAGTCACTACAGTAAATCCATTTGCCCAGATACTGCAAACCCTGAGAAGTGAGGCAAGACCTCACACTGTTTGTAGTGTTGAACTTGTGCTGAGGGACACCAGCTTGAGCAGGATGGGATCACTGAGCTGTGCTGTGCAGTGATGTGTCAGGACACTGTGGGCACTGCCAGGGTCAGAAAACACATCTGCCCACGGGAAGAGGCCTCCCAGCACAGTCCTGGGCAGCTGCCCTGCACTGTGGCTGCAGTGTGTGGAGCAGGTGCCCTGCCAGGAGCAGGGACTGGCACCACACTCGGGAGCAGGACCTGCCTGCTGGGCCCTGGGGAGAGTGCAGGAGTCAGGGCACTGTTGGGAAGCACAAAGGGTCAGAGGATGTTCCATAGCTTTTCCAGACATGGTGGCAGGCTCTGAGACAGCCCTCCAGGCCTCCCCTGGAGTGTTTCAGGAGGGTGTTTAGGAAGGGAATGCAGGTGACTGGGAAGCACAGGGAGAGCTGGCATCGTGCCTCTGTAGGTGACACTTTGGTGTTGTGGTGAGGTCCTCATTAGTGTGCAGACCTGGTCACCTGTGCCAGAGGCTTTAGGGGCTGCTCATTGCCTTAAGGAAGAGTAAGATCAGGGTTGGGTTTTTTTGCAGGGGAGGAAGCCATGACCTTTCTGGTTCAGTCAGAACTGGTGTTCATGGGCTCCCTAAGAGTCAATCCAGGCCATCTCAGCCAGAAGGCATTCAAGAAAAATACCTGTTATGCCTTCACTGAATCTGTTCCATTTGCCTCCAAAACGAGGTATTTGGCCTTTCTGCTGTATTCGGGGTATGTGATTATGTGGCACAGGAGCATGTCGTCTTGCCTTCTGTCTGCATGGTTCTGCATCCAGTGTTGACCAGTCACCATTCCTGCTTTGTTCTCCACACAGCAGAAAGTGCTTTCAGCAGAAGAGTGGAAGGCAAAGCGCAAAACAACTTTGAAGAAACAAACAGCAATTGCCAGAACTCCAGTGGTAAGTGAGTTCACCCTCTCCTGCTCTTGCTACCATGTTCCTTTCCAAGCAGGAATCAGCTGTGGTCAGTAATTGTTGATGTATTTGGGGCACTTTGGTTAAGCTCGCAGGCAGCCAGCCCTCCTGGGGTAGTGCCCTTTTCTCCCTCCTCCCCAGGCTCCTGGCATTTCAAGCCTGTAAAAAAGGTGATATGGGAATCCTGCTCCCAAGGACCGGCTACTTTAGCATAGATTTTTCAGTGGGGAGCAAAGATGTGGAGGAAGGATGGATGGATGGAGATGCAGCACTGCTGATGCTGTGTCCGTGTGTCAGTGCAGTCCTGGTGAAACAAAGCCAGCAACAAGCAAGAGAAGCTGAGCTGAGCACTCAGTGATGCTCAGTGCATGTTACAATGGTGCTGAGTGTGGCAGTTTATTTACATGTCACTGTAACCAGCATCCAGCTGTTTGTGGGTTCACTGCATGGAGATCACAGTGTACCAGATGTGGGACCAAAATACATCTACTAGAAGGAATGAAAATTTACTCCACTTCTGGAGTTTCTTTTCATTTTAAGTCCAAGTGGTAGTAACTGAACATGGCCACTGGCCTAGACAATTTTGTTTAGGTACACTGTTGACAGAGTTTTCTCTACAAGACTTTTATCCTTCCTGTGTATTGCCCTGCCTTCCAGTGGGCCACTGCAATTCTCTCGTGCTCCCTAATTGGAGCGTGACAAACCAGATGAAATGTAATTTTGGCATCTTGGTGCAGAGATAAATAAGGTGCTGACAGAAAAGCCCGGTCTCCCTCCATTCCCCATCCCAGAGTACCAAAATGTGGTATTTTCACTGCCTCTGGCTGGAATGGAGCTGGTTACAGGTCTGTTGGGGGAACTGTATCTGCCTCTGAAGCAAATAAGAGACTTTCTGGAGCATGATGAAAAGGAGAGACATGGTGGTGGAAAACACCCTTGTGGTAGCAGAGTGGGTGATGGTGAACGGGGAAAAAATGTTGTTTGTTACTGAAATACTGTGTGTTATGTTTTGGGGAACAATCCTGTACTAATCCAAGCATTCACCACAATTACAGCTGGTCATTCGGGGACAGAAAAACCTAAAGAAAAGAGGTGTAAGCAGAACCCATCAGGTGAGCTCGTCTCTGTGTTTCAGGCCCTTGTACCCATTAGTCCTGTTCCACCTGGGGAACTGCAGGGGATGTTGTCAGGCAGCCCAGCCTGGCTGTCAGACACGGCTCAGAGCACTGTAGTTCTCTGACTGCCAGAGCCAGCAGCCTGGTTTGCTGCCCTGAACGTGCTCCTGGGCTCTCAACAGCTCTGCTCCTCGTGTCTTGTCTTCTGTGGGTACTAGGAGTGGTTTGAAGTGCCTTGAAGTGCACATCTTAAAATGCCAATATACCATTTGGGTCCCTGACTCCTCTGGGGCCCTTTGAAAGCAGCAGTCTGAGATTTTACCTTTTTTATTCCTGTAAATTTTAACTTTTTTATTCCTGTGAAGCCCTGTACAGCCTACAGGGCAAGGGCAGAAACATCTTCCTTCCTATCAAACAGCTCATCCCTAGAGCCAAGAAAGCTGCATTGTAAAACCTTCTGGCTGCAAACCTCTTTTTAAATTTGGGAGGAGAGGAGATGAGCATGTAGCATGGGAGGGGGTCCAGGAATCACTGACAAGAAGCACACACGAGGAGTGGCTGTATTTAGTCCAAAACTTGAGTTCTGTCTGAACTATTAAATACTGACCCACTGTTGCTGTGATGCATCTCCCAGACTCTCTCTGGCATCTCCTTGTACCAGCTCACATCACACTCACCCTTCTCAATCTGTTTTTATCCAAGCTGCAACATTTAAAGCACAGGAGTAAAAGCTCACAGTAAAAACCCAAACGAAGCCAGAAATTCTTACAAACAGTAGAGTTTCATGGGATTTGCTGGTGTTCTTTCATTGTAAGGAGTGTTTCTGTTTGCACCACGTGCAGTGTCAGTTTATTTTAGTGGCTCAGTCTAGGGCCTGGCATGCTGCAGGGGAGTTACAAGGTGCTCACCTTATCTTTTGTTTGAGCCAGGAAACCTGAGGAACTCGAGTGAGCTGCTCAGGACTGGTTTGAGAGGAGTTGGGCTCTAGTTAAAGCAGTTCCTTTCTGCATTAAGCAGCTGACACAGTCCTCCAAGCCAGGCATGGGGATGCATAAACTTCTTCCCTTTTCCCCTTCCTTTATCCTGCATCCCCTTTTCTTCCCCAACCCTGTTTTCTCTTTGACTCCATTTTTGTGCTGCTTGCTGTGTGTCCCATTCAGTGCTCTTTTCCAGCTCTTGCTCCAAGCCATTTCTCCTCTTTTATTCCTTCACATTGTCAGGAGTCAGTCTCAATGGTTTCATTGACAGCAGCCTGGTTGAGCATGACCAGTCACTGAGAGTGTCACTGGTGATCAGAGAGGCCCTGGAAAGCTCTCAGGCATCTGTGTGCTCAGGTGTCCAGGCAGGGCTCTCAGTAACTGCCTTTTGGAAGAGCTGGTGTGTCTTTGCCTCCCCATTTTCCTTCTTTCCATGGCTGTGTTTCAGTGGGGGCACAAACACCACATGGCTCAGTGTCACGTGTGGGATGTGAAACTCTGGGGTAATTCTGGCACTATTGGCCTGTCCTCCCTTGAGCCCCATCCAGCAGATCTCACCCAGGCAGAGAAGCAGCTGGGGATAACGTGGTGGGGAATGACAGAAGGATGGACTCTTCTGTCCTCCCACTCCCATCTGCTGCTTGTCACCACACTGCTGCTGCTGTAAGGAGTCACCGGGTTTGGGAGGTAGATGTAGGTCCCAGCTGAGCAGCCCAAGCTGTGTGAGTTGGCCTTCTTAAATGCATCATTGCACTCGCTCTCTGTGGATGCGAGTCGTCCGTTGCAGGCTCAGGTAAAGAGATGTCAAAGGGAGCAGCAGGAGGTTTTTAGGCCACCCAGCTGGGGACATTCTGCTCTTTCCCCGTGTCATCATCCCAATTGCAGGGCCACAGACCCCTTCATGTCTGTTGTGAGGAGGGAAGATGAGCAGAGCAGGAAGGTGAGCATCTAAAACCACCTAAAACAGACTTGGATGCAGTGCTGTTGGGAGTCCTGGGGGAGAATAAGACAACTAGAATGGAAAACGTTGGATTTCAGATGTCTCTCCCCTGTGCACAACCCTAGTCCTTGTCACAGTGAATGCAAGTACCTGATATCCTTATCTGAGTGCTCTGGCACCGTACTGCCCATAAAACAGCAGTTGTGTTTGCATGGCAAACTCTGCTTTGTGGCTGGTTTGAGTCTCCTCCAGTAGCAGGTTTGTCTCCCAGCAGGGTGGGATGGAGCCATGGAGTGGATGGAGAAGGACTCTTCAGCTGTCGTCCATGATGTGATTGGGGAGCATCCTTTGTATTCATGGAAAAGAATCTCCACAGCCCCTTAAACTTCTTTTTGATGAAACCTGGAAGTTTCACAGTGCTTTAAAAATAGTATCCTGCTAAAATGTTCTAGTTACTCCCTTGTGCCACCTCGAGAGCACAGGCGCAAAGGTCCCAAGTCACATGAAGCTTCTGTTTACCCACTGCTGAACTAAGGTCCAGAAAACAGTGCCATGACCTGATCCTGAAACATGGAATTATCCCACTGGGATGTAGAAGTTGTTATTCAGTGAGGTGCCATAAAACTGCTTTCAAGGTAACTCTCCCTGGTGGGGGTCATTTTACTGAGTCTTGACACATGCTGGGGTTTTCTGGGCTAAATCCTCAAGAGGCCAAACAATATTTCAAGGCCAACCTGTGTAATGCTCTCCTGCAAAAGCCAGTGATGATCAGCCTGAGCTTGGGAAGGGAACACCCTGGAAAGGGGCAAAGCTGAGTGTTGTGTTCCATAGTGAAGATCCCTGCTGGGCCCTGCACTGGTGCACTCTGGAACCACACAGCTCCCAGGCTTTGGGATCTCCCTGTTGTCTCATCTTCTGTCTGGCTTCAGGAAACCTCAGGGGAAATGACCATCTCTGCCTTTAGTGTTTACAGCCTAATCCATCTTGATCTGTTGTTTTGTACACTATGGATGACTCCACTGTCAAATAAAAGCCAAGAGGGATTAAGAAAATTGTGAGAATTCAAAAGGAAAAATAAAAACAAAAGGGAGAAAAAAAGCTCTTTAGTTTCTACACCTTAAAATACAGCCATCAAAGGAAAAATCTAATTGAAATTGTCAGGGTTTGTTGAAGTCTAAACTTGCTCGATGTTATGAATGTGAAAGAGAACAGTTAAAATTATGTAGGGAATTGGGAAATATTTTGAACTTTCGAGGTTGATTTAAACTGTATAAATATGTCTCAATTTCATCTGCTGCATTAGGGAACTGTTACTGTCAGAACTTCCAGTGCAACAAATTTTAACATTTACAGTTTTTAAAATGTCAACACTTCTCATTCCTATTTGCACAGGGAAACTTTGCTTTCCAGCACTGTTTATTCCAGACTGGAGAGAGGGTCAAGGGAAGTATCTTCTTCTTTTGAATCGGTTTGTGCTAAGGTGAGGTGAGATTGAGACCAAAAAAAAATTGATTTCCTCCTTTTGATTTAGAGTAGAAATTCTTGGAGAAGCCTGAGAATTGCCAGTTCTCAGGGTTTAAAGGACATTGAACTAAATTTTAAACATGCATTCAGTTGGATTTTCAGAAATGACAAACTTGTTGGTCTGTCATTACAACATATTCCCGATTCCCATCCGTTGCAGCATTGAACTATTTCAAGCAAAAGGATAATTAGAAATGTCTCATTCACCACTTGCCACATAAAACCAGTATGTTTAGTCTGTGTTAGGCAGGATGTAAGTAGTTCTTTCTTACTTAGCAGCTGAGCAGAACTAACCTTTAGTTTTATGGGAAGCAGCAAAAAGACAGAGTGTGAATCAGTGTTAAACTCATGATTAAATCTCCTGAAGCTCAGTTTGGGGATGCTGGGAGCAGACCTGAGTCCCCTCCACAGCTCCTGGTGCAGCACCACGAGTTCAGGTCCTGCTCTTGCCCTGCAGTGCCAGGTCCCCCAGTGCCCCTGGCTGCCTGGCCAGACTGAGACACTCAGCAGTGGTTCCTGCCAAATTCCTGTACAAAAAAGCTGTTTTGCACTGGCAGTGAAGGTGGTCATAGGGCCCATGTGGGAGGAGTTGGCTTAGGAGTGTTACAAACACTGAGATCTTCCTCCTTCCCTGCTGTGGCCATACATCCCCTTCTGCTTCTTCCCTGCACTCCAGTGATCACACAGCCCATCCAGTGGGATTTCTGCTGGAGAACATGACTTTTAGGTTAGGATTTTTGGTGGGTAAGTGCAACTTTGGGGTTTGGCCTTAATAATTCTTGATTCTTGATCACAGTGTGATGTTAGCACAGCCTGTTTCTCTGCCTCTGGGGCACACCCAGCTGCCTGACAGGGTCTGTCAGCTGGGCCTGAGCACACTCACGTTACAGTGGTTCATCTCCTGGTAAATCTCCTTCTCATCTAGTAGCTGGTTTGTGACTTCCATGGAGTTGGGAGGTCCAAAGACCAAGTTTGAGGAGTAAGGAAATGGGAGGGAGTTGTTCTGTGAGCTCCCACAGTTGTGCAGGGCACAGGGAATGCTGATGACAGGGGAAGGGGGAACACAATTGTGCAAATACACAGAGCTGAATTTTCAAAGCAGCCTGAAAGGACTGTGCCCAGAACAAAGGTCACCATCTGAGTGAGAATGAGAGTAACCCAGGGAGAGGCTTCAGTCAAGAAAGTGTCACTTTGCTCAGTTGCATAAGTAAGTCATTGTGTCCGCTGGGCATTTGTGTGGAATGAGGTTCCCAGGAATGAACTGTTTATTTTTGGTGCCACATTCATTTGAGCTGTTCCAGACTTGTCATGTTGAGCAGGCAGCTTGTAGACAGGAAGAAAGATATGTGGGTTAAAATAACCACTCAGCAGCCAGTCTCTGCGGGTGATATCCTGCCAATTGCTCAAGAGCCCTGGACACCAGGAAAGACATGAGCCAATGCATATGAAAGCACTGAGGCAATGAGCAGTCAGCAGAACTGGGACAGCCAGGCAGAGCAGCTGGATTGCAGTCTACAAGCATAGATCCTGGACTGGGCTGGGACTGGGCAGGATGT